CGAGCGAGAGGAAATTTCTACCAATACCACGAATTCACAGTATGTGCACAGACACTGTTTAAGAGAAAAGGATTTCTTAAAATGTGAAATGGTAGTGGTATGTGCGCGGCAACGAATCCAATGCACGTTTTTTTTTTTTTTTTTTTTAAGATCGATCGTAATGCAAGGGTGAGCCATTTTTTGCCGGGCACATTGCTCAGCTCACGCGAAACAATTCAGTTCAGTTCGGTCGATCTGTTTTTTTAACCCTCTCTTTATTTTCCCTTCTCGTCCTTGGAAACGGTGCAACGATTAACGAGCACGTTGCATGCATGTGCACCTCGCCTGTGTACATTTCGCCGTGCAAAGATTAGATAACCGGTCAACCCGCTATCGGTTCACCGGAATCGTAAAATTTCGTGATGGACTTTTTTTGCATAGAAATCTCTGCGTGAACAGACGTGGCCACTAGACCGAGCTGAAAAAAATGACTAGTTAAAATAAAGTTATAACTTTATTTATCAAAATAAACGAACAACGTTCGTTCTTATTACAGGTGAATTATTAATCCGTAATTATTGATATTTGAATAAAGAATTATTAAAAGAGTAATTGATTAAAATTTCGAATAAAGTTTAAATAAATAATTAATAAATAATTAATAAAAAAATATTAATAAAAAAATAATTAATAAATAATTAATAAATAATTAATAAAATACTCTGTAAGTTTAATAAGTTTGTTTGAAATGCTCGAACAATATTTATTCAAGAGGCAAGAACTGTTTTCGGTTCTCTGTCCATTAGCGTGCAGTACTGTGATTAGATGATCAGAAACCATTGCCCTCTATGAAAGATAATCGTTTTAAACTTTTTAAACATTGTTGAGGGAACAAGAATGAATGAATTAGAAACTTTATTACTCGTATATTTTTAGATATTCTGATAATAAATTTTAAGATTTTAAATATTCAAAATTTTAAATATTTAAACGAATATATTAATATTTAAAATTATAGAAAAATATTATTATATATATGTTTATTCGTAGTTTAGTACAGTTGATCCGCTCTTTGTGTAATCTCAGCCATTTGGCGCTGTAGTTATCTGCGATTATTCGATGCTTTAAACAATAAATTATTGAAGTAATTTAATTCAACTGTTTTAAAATTATGATAATACATTTTGAACGTAAATATAGAATGGTTAGAAAAGTATCGAGTACGGTTAATTTCTTTTCTGATACTTTAACGCGGTGTTTTTTTTTTTAATTACTTTTTTTTTTTTTTACAATATTTGAATAATTTGCAATTTCTTTTCTCAACAAGCTAAAAGAAAAAATGAAGTGTCTTTGAGAAGTGAGAATTAATTGGAAAATAAAGTTTAATAAAGAAATCTTTTCTTCTATTAAAAAGATGCATTTAATTTGTATTTTTTCTCCATTTTAGAAATTAAAATTTTTATACTTAATAAAAATTTAAGTTTTTATATTAAACGGACAAAACGTGGAAATTTAATTAAAGCGAAAATAATGGAATTAGTTTAAATTGAAAGAATTTCTGCAGTTCGATAAATAAAATAAATCTCTTTCCATTTATTAAAATGTTATTAAAAAATTGTGTCAAACCCACGTATAGAAATTCCATTACTTTTATTTTATTAAAATTTCACGTAAAATATCGAAGCATATAAATTTCATTACAAAGTGCAGAATATAATAGCTCGTTTAATTATTTTAATAGTGATTATCAAATATAATCAAAAAAATTACAGAAAAAAATATTGCAAATTTTTCAAAAATGAAATAAATAAGAGATAATAATAAGATATATACTAAGATATATAATAAAAAATTACACATAAGATTTTTCTTCATTTGAAGATTTCCGCTGATGCGTGTAGTTTATTATTCCTTACTAATTTAGTAATTTTTTTTAGTAATATTTTCTTACAAATTATTCTTTTAAAATTTAATTTTATTCATAATATTTCCAAATTAAAAATTATTTGTCCAAATCAATTTGTTCCTCTTAGAAAGTTTCTTAGTTGTGATCAAAGATTTTCCACTTTATAAACAAATATGTGAAAAACATATCAGAAACGCTTAACATAACATCGCAACGAATTTCCCCTAGGACGCTCATCAAATGAAGCGTGAAATCCCCTCGGAAACAGGATACTTTTACTGTTCGATCAGCAGATATCAAAAAGTAAATTTCATTCCACAACGATGGAGTTAACAATTTGCTATTTGTTTAACAATTGATAACGAATCAATTTGCACCAGTTATCGTACTCGATGTAATAGATAAAAATACTATATCAAACAATAAATATAGAATAATATTCCTAAGAAAGAATAATCTTTGATTAATTTTCATTGCATTGATGGAATATTTAAAATTTCAAAATATTTATTTTGAAGATCATTGTAAAAATAAAAATAATTGTTACACAGCAGCCCTTTTTAACATTATTTTGTGATTGTAACCCATTTTTTAAATATTTTATTATATAAATTATAAGACATATTAGTCGATTAGATATATTTAAATCATATATTTCATAAAACACTTGGTACTTTTCAATTGAATTGCTTCTTTTATTTAGATGAACGATATGTAGTATACAATTAAACGTTGGGCACACAGAAGCCATGAAGCGAGTAACGGTAGAAAAAAAAACGGTTTAAGGACGGAACAAAAGAATCTAATTACATACTAGCAACTCGTCACAAGTGGCCTGAGACTGAACCGTAACTCGAACCTCTGAAAACAATAGGGTAATGCGCGGAGCTTTTTTCCAGAATTTAATCCATTTCTGAAATTTGTTATTACTTTGGAAATACAATGGAATACGATACGATAAAAAAAATTCATTAAATAAACTGTCCTCTGTAATCCCGCCATATCGAAGAATTTTTTATAACATAATTTTTATATGAAAATGAAATATTTTTATATGAAATGATTAAAGTCATTTCGATTCCTTTCATTTAAGTTATTAAATAATGCAGTTTAATAATTTCTCGTTTAATATTTTCTAATTACAAAAATCCATATTAAATTTTTTATTTTTTATAATAATGACATTCATTTTTCATGGAAATATTTTTTTCATAAATTTACTTGATTAAAAATATATTTTAATAATACGATATTTAATTCTTCTCGATATAATTTTAATCCGAGAAAAATTTTTAAGCTATAAACAATGAAAAATTAAATTTAACTAATTATTTAATTAAATAATTTAATTTTCTATGAGATATTATTTAAAAAAAATTAAAGAATAATACAATGACCAAAATATGTTGGTATTTTCCAGCCGAAAAATTAACAAATGCCAAGAAAATCCCGAGATCGAGAAACTTTTTGAAATGAAACACTTTTAAAGAACATCGAGTGTGCTCGAGAGATTATATCTCGGTGCATCCTTGTCTAGTGCCAAAATCGGGAAACTCTTGCATTGAGAAACTTCCTATCTCCGCGGAATTTACACAATTTTGATGAACACAATAATCTATAAATTGTTATTTTATTATCTTTTTCGAAATTTTAGGTTTAAATTAAATATTGAATTAAATATTGATTTCATAATTTTTCATTTATATAAATTGATTATTATATGTTATATCTCTTGTTAATAAATAGAAATATATTTGCACCAAGTTTGATTTAATTTATTAAACATTATTTGCATAAGATATATAAACAATTACCTAAAAATTAATGGTATTCGTTTATTGGATTAATAATCGATGATTTTCGTTTATTTGTAAATTTGATGTTAACAATATTTTCTTTTTGCAATAAATGTTTATTATATTTAATATTTGCATTAAATAAATAACAAAATTAATTTCAAAATTTAAATGTTGAAAAAAAAATTAATTTTTAATTTTAAACAAACAATTTAACAATGATAAAAATTACACTTTTATCACAGGATATTTTTTAATAATTTCCTGTGTATTCACAGTAACAAAGAATGCCAATAAGCTTCATGCTTACAACCAATATCCGATACAAAGTGCCACTATACATAACCTAACAATATAATTTCGTGCATTCGATAAGAGATCGAAAAACCGATAGCCAAGCTACTAACACAGTTGCACTATCGAATAAAATATGAACTAGTTTCTCGTCACTTGTCGCGACATTCAAAGCATGCACGAAAATTAAAATAAATCGAATCGTATTCTAAAAACATTCACAAAATTTCATTTGCAGGTTAGAATTCCATTTTTCGGAAAATTCGAATCGAATCGTTTTTAAAGGAACAAAGATTTATCGAGATGGCTTGTCAACGAACTCTATATATGTATTGGTATTGCGACTTACCCTCAAAACCTAACCTGACACCGCCCTGTGTCACACTAAAGCCGCTTCCAAATCCCTCGGAAGTTGTTCTATTCCTGTGGACGCCACGTCCGTCGGGGATTCACATTCGTGAAACGTCGGAAAACTCGACTCGTTTCACGATTACCGTGAACCACACAAAAAGCCAGGAAAAACAACGACTTCGTCCCATCGTGAGACAAGAACTGCCTTCGATGCAGCCTCCGTCCACTGGCGTGCAGTACTGTGACTAGGTGATCAAAAACCACGGTTCTCTATGGAAGATGATTGTTTTAAATTTTTCCAATTGTTAAAGAAACAAAAATGAGTAAATTAGAAACTTTATATTATATATTTTTAGATATTCTAATAATAAATTTTAATGTATTTAAGATTGTAAATATTTAAATGAATATATTATTATATTAATATTTAAAATTCTAGAAAAATATTATTATATACATACATATATATATATATATATATATATATGTATTTCACGATGAATATTTAAATGGTTTAAATATAAAAATTTATAAATTATCATTATAATTGGCAATTTCTGAATATTTCAAACATCGAGTGTACCATGGATCACCATGACAGAAAACGATCCTGAAGTCACGCATGCGCAATAATAGTAATTGTGAGTGACATAGGTAGAGCGGAGAATATGTTTCGTTTTCTGACGAATTACTTGTGAAAATAATGAATTATTATTAATTGTAGTTTGACGAATGTCGCCAACAGATCAGTTTCTTTCATTTTTCAAAAGTAATTATTTTCTATGTCTATATTAATATTATGTTGCAAAGAAATCAATGATCGAATCGACAGGATAATTCAATTACGCGCTCTGAAAATTTCTATCGGCATGCATTCGATCGAAAATAATGTTAATAAACTATTTTTAATTATTTCGGAAATATTAAATATAATTCAATATAAAAAAATTCCATTTATTCATATCTAATTAATAATTTATGTCAATTAATAATTTTATAGTGGAAAATTATTATTAATTCTTTCGAATAGTGAGAAATTTCCAAATTCTAACCTAACTTTTACAAATTGAAACTTGCAAATGTACGATTGGCGGGAAACGATTACTTTCAAATTTTTAGAAAATATTATTGAATTTTTATGAATTTAAAATTCCAGATTTCCAATATTAAGAAATGAAAATATAACTTCTTATTATTTGCTGTTACTTCAATCGAGATACGACTTCAAACGACTTTGACATTTTGCCTCTTTAATATTCCATCCGAAGATTCAAGAGAAATGGAAGTTGAAACAATGATCAAAGGTACGCAAGGATAATATCGATTGTAAACTTCGTCAATTACGAATCCTATCAAAATTCCACGGTGCAACCAATGAGAAAGATCAATCTTGATTAATTGGATTTGCTTACGTTTCAATTAAACTAACAGAATTCAATTGAACCAACGGAATATGAACGACATTCTGAGATATCCATTTCATCTTTTTTTTTTCCAAACTCTTGTTCTCAACTTCAAAACTCAAACTATTAACCTCACTTTTTCAAATCAAATCAAATCAAATCTTTCATCATCTTCCTCCAATTTGATTTTAATTTTCCATTTTAGAAGATATTCGATCGTCTCGAAAAGAGATAATGAAGATTCATTTCGAGAAGAAACTGAAGGATACGTTTTTAGACGTATAATTCACGATCAAGAGGGAGCATGAAATTGGAGCGTGGCAATCAGAAATGGGACGTTCATTGAATTCGACCAGTAAAAGGGGAAAGAGTGGGCACGACAAGGAGTATAACATACATTATGAGTGGAATCGATAAGAACTGGGTTAACACGATCAGTTAAAGCAGCAGACTTTCTTCAACATGACTATTATATTTAAAATTAATGATGATTTAATCAGATGGAAAATTGAACAATCCTATGCGTTTTCCAATCCGTTCCCTCTGAAGAGAATCGTCTTTTTCATGTCATTCATCTTTGTTTCTATTATCAGATATCAAGTTCATTTTTCCTGATAACGAAATCTTTTTTCTTTTTCAAGAAACACGATTTCAAATGTACGATTGGCGGGAAAAGATTACTTTCAAATTTTTAGAAAATATTATTGAATTTTTATGAATTTAAAATTCCAGATAATATTAAGAAATGAAAATATAAACTTCTTATTATTGATATTATTGATATTATCAATTGAAGCAATCTTCAACACGGTTTATATTATATTTAAAATTAGACAGATGAAGAATTGAAGAAGAATATAAGATATACGTTTCAGGCTATGATTTTTTTGAAGAGAATTATCTCCTTGATGTTATTCATCCTTTGTTGGTAAATGATTAATTTTTCCTATACTCATGAAATTTTTTTCAACATATCTTTTGAAAGATTAAGATTATCTTTTGAAGATTACAATGGTTAATATTCTTATATCTCAATACTTCATATTTATATTTTAAATAACTCAATATCTTGAAAGTATTAGTCACTTTATAATTCAAGTTACGTAGACTTGCTTCAAAGGAAGAAACGATGATATATCCAATTTAAATCATATTTTCTGAGATATCAAAAAGCAGGATTCACAAGAAAACCGATACTTTAATCTCGTTCCTTTGAGAATTCAGTTATACGCATGCTATGATATTAAGATTATAAGTAGATGCATCTTACAAATATATCCAGTTCAAATTATATTTCTTGAGATATAAACGATCTACAAATAAATCTAAGTCCTATCTGCACACGTTACCAAAAGATCAGAACACTAAATAATAACGGATATTAGACATCAGCTCATAAATGTATCTACTTTAACGTTTCTTGTTACAATCCTCCCAAAATCCTTGCGAGCAAATTCAAATCACGTTTCGATTAAAATTGGGCTCGTTTCGTTTTCGAAATCAAATAACAAGTAACAAATCAATATACATATAACAACATATATATAACAAATTATTTTCAAATTAACTCTGCTGAGATTATATTCGTTACTTTATTTCAACGATTATTATAAATTATTTAACATTTATAAAATTGCAGCGAATGAAAACAAAATTTGTTTCGTAAAAATAAATAGAATTGTACGTGAATATGCACAAAAACTAATTCAATGAAATATGAAGGGAAATATTATTATTTCGTAACGAAATAACTTGGAGAAAAATTGTTTGATCGTTTGTATAAGCAAACATCATTATTTTAAATAATATATAAATCAATTAAGGTATAATTATTACAATTCTTTTTAAATTGCATTCATTCTTAAAATTTGAACCTAATCCAATTCATGGCTGAGAATAATTGAAAATAATATTTTTCCAATTATTATTTTATCTTAAATTCCTTTAATCGATCAAATAAAAACAATTAAAATAAATTATCTTTCAAATAATAATTAACATTACTTGGAATAATTATTCCTAAATTATTATTCGAAATAAATTTCATTCGAATAATTCACAATCCTTTCAATCGGATGAGATACGAGAAATTATTTTAAAATTCAAATTATTTGAAAATCTATATTTAAAATATTTTATGAATTTCATATGCTTCATATGAAAAAAATAAATGTATCTGTGATCAAATGATTTATTCGTTACTTCACGTTGTTTAATTTTAATCAAATATTAACTTAATTAATTAATTTATTAACGTTTGTTGCTAATATTATGATGAGTGTGCTATAATTATTATTATTACTACGTATCGTATTCAAATCATTGCATTAATGGCATGAATCAACTTAATTTTTCTTTTTTTTATTCGATTTCGAGGAATTTAATTTTCCGAATGAAAGATTGATCAATTACATGATTAGATTTATTATTTCTATTCAGGATATCAGAATTCACACTTATCCTGAATTTTATTTGAAAAACAAATTTTCAATCCCAACGATGAACATTATTTTTTCAAATAATCAATCCTTCGATTTATTATTTATTTAACCAAAGGAAGAACATAATATCGGTTGAAAATACAGATGTTAATATTAATGAATGACCCTTTGCATAAAAAAGTAAGAATTATAATATAATGTTTCTCATATGTAATTAAATGTAATGTGTATATGTAATTAAATGTAAATCGAAACATTTAAATGAAGAATATCCGAATCATTTAAATATATAAAATATGGAACAACATTTTTTTAATTCGAAGCTTCGTTTTCGAGAAAATCGAGTTTGAAAAGTTTTTAAGTACAAATAAAATTTTCGATTGGACACAAATTATCGACAACAGATTATTTCACACGTGAAAATAAAAAACTAAATAGAATAAACTTTCGTCGTTTAAATCCTCGTATAATATAATCAAAAGTTAACGCAAAAAAATTTTATATTTAATTTTCACACAATAGAATAATCTAATAATCCATTATACATATATATTTCATCCCACGCTTCATCTTTTTCTTTTTTAAAATCTATCTTACTTTCAATTACTCTCATTCGGCCTACGTAAAGAAAAATACATTGTTTCTTTCCAAATAAAGGAACAATCGTTGCNTTATATTTAATTTTCACACAATAGAATAATCTAATAATCCATTATACATATATATTTCATCCCACGCTTCATCTTTTTCTTTTTTAAAATCTATCTTACTTTCAATCACTCTCATTCGGCCTACGTAAAGAAAAATACATTGTTTCTTTCCAAATAAAGGAACAATCGTTGCATACCTATATATTCGCTACTTATAATTCACCAACTTAACTTAATCAACATTTAATCCCACTTCCAAACAATTATTTTCAAACGATCACACTCTGATTCCTTCCCACTCCGCACACACGCGGCAAACAATTCGCCTCCACTTATTTAATCGGTGTCAGCCAGTTGAACGGCAAGAAGACGAAACGGGTTAATGTTGAGCGAGGGGGTAGCGTGGTGAGGGCTGTAGGCGTGGGACGCGCCTCGAGTCCTGCGCACACCGCACGACTCGTGCCGAAATCGTGCGGGGCCCGCGCCGCGAGATTTAGTCTGCGCGCGGCACTCGTCCGAGACGCGTCGTCGTCTGCCTCTCTCCCCCTACCGGAGGAAAAGTGCGTCGCCGATAAACCCTGCCGTCGAACCACGAGGAGTAATATATCGAAATTATGATTTTTCCACCGATGTAAAAAAAAATAAAATAAATAGGGGAAGCTGTGGACGAGTTTATTATTGCCAAGTTCCTCCACGTTTGAGCCTCGTCTCCGAGTTTTTTCTGTGATCCCCCGATGATGAAAGTTTCCTTCGTAAAAAAAAAAAAAAATTGTTGAGTCCCGACAATTTTTCTTTTTTAAACCCGTTTTTTGGGAAATGGGAAAAATTTCTAAAATACGAATTTTAAATCTCTCGTACGATTGTTTTACCGAGTGGATTAAACTTGATCAATCGATCAGTGGTGTTTCTCTTTAGAGTTTGAGAGAGACAGAGAGAGAGAGAAAAGATTATTAAAAAGAAGTTGAAGTTCAAGAAGAAATCGTAAATCGTATCTTGATCCATCGTTCGAAAACTTTGATTCGAAAGAGAAACGAGAGCTCTCCCCTTCCCCCCCTTTCCTCAAGAACTCAACGAATTCAACGAATTTCGTTTCACGCTGCAAACGGGGTTCAAAGGGCGTGGGGAGTTCAAAGGGCATAAGTGGAATCGCAGGCAAATCGAGCAACATCGTCGATGTTGGACAGCAAGCGGATTGGAATAGAGGTCTCGACGAGGCTCGTTTAAGACCTAATTGCCAAGTTGCAATTGGACCCTTTGTTCTAGCCTCTGACGTGTGCACGATTCGCATTCCTCGTCCGCGCTCCACGTTCCTCGATGAAAGAAGAAAAATAATTCCTCCCCTCGATCGTTCGATCGTGCAACCTCGTCGTGCTTTCAAAAATTCACGGATAAAACGGATTTTTTTTTTTCTGAAAAATTACTCTATAAATAATAAACTCTACCCCCCACTATATCCGTGTACTCGTATTTCGAAATTTCATCGAAAAGTAAAAGAAAGTGAAATATCTTTTTTTTCTCAATCTCGACAGAAAGGATTTCAAAAAAAAAAAAAAATCTCTTGGAAACGAACGAGATTTAATTCGAGAGGATTCGCAAGGATTTTTAGAGGAGTGATGAGTGCGGGAGAAAAGAGCGTGAACGCGCGGATGGAAGATCCTCGTGGAAGATCGATCAGCGAGACCGATGCAGAGGGATCTTTGTGAAAGGGGCTCGAGAGGGCTGGGAATGAGAAGCGTGTCAAGATCGAGGGTCGAGGCAAGGTAAGAATGCTCGAGTTTTATCGCCGATTAGCGTGACGACTCGTTAATCGTTCGCGTCCGCGCGAGCCAATTCCGATCCACGTATTCTGACCCGAATTTCTTCGAAACCGACGTATCTCTTTGGTAAATTTAAAAAAAAAAAAAGTCACGGATGATCTTCCGCAAAAGTGTCGATCGATTTTTAGTTCGTCGCAAGATCGTGATGAAAGATCGTGAAAAATTTCCAATGTTTTTCTTTTCCTTTTTTTCCAGTTTTTGAAAGGAAAATTAATCGTTCCTTGCGCGGTTCGAAACCGCAGTTCGGCATAATGAAAAATTGTAATGATACAGCGAGCTAATGAGTTTCTCCTCCGAACGATGTAACCGATACTTAACACCTTCTCAACCTTGCTTCTATTTTTATCGCGAAATTTTTTTTAAAACGGAACTACAGAAATTAACAAGTTGTTCAACAACTTGTTTTCCGTACTTGTAGAATACTTTATAGAAGAAAGAGAGAGAGAGAGAGGGAGAGAAAAAATAGATTAAAAACCATTCTCGTAAATAATAATAATTGATAGAATAATATTCACAAAAAATTATTATTTTTTTTTTAAATAAATGAACCTTACCATTCCAATTCTAATTATGAAGATACAAATATATAGAGTCGGGTATTAATCTAGTTAAAAAATGAAAAAGTAACTAGTTAAAAATTTCGAACAAAGTTACCCTAACTAATTACTTATTAAAAGTTTGTTTGAGTAAATAATAACAATTGATAGAATAATATTCACAAAAAATTATTTTTTTTTAAAATAAATAAACCTTACCATTCCAATTCTAATTACAAAGATAAAGATATATATAGAGTCGGGTATTAACCTAGTTAAAAAATGAAAAAGTAACTAGTTAAAAATTTCGAACAAAGTTACCCTAACTAATTACTTATTAAAAGTTTGTTTGAGTAAATAATAACAATTGATAGAATAATATTCACAAAAAATTATTATTTTTTTTAAATAAATGAACCTTATCATTCCAATTCTAGTTACGAAGATATAGAGTCGAGTATTAAACCTAGTTAAAAAATGAAAAAGTAACTAGTTAAAAATTTCGAACAAAGTTACCCTAACTAATTGCTTATTAAAAATTTGTTTGAAGCTTTATTATATTATTTGGTATTGTTCTAGCTTTTTGAACACGATAAATTATCGAACTTAACTTCGTTCGATTTTACCCTCCCCTCACCCCTCTCATCACGGAGAATACGGAACAACCAGGGTAACAGTGTCATACAAAGGGATGGTTAGGGATCGAGGATAGTTCCCACAGGAGACTCGAGAGTTACGTGTTTCAACCGATGCTTCAACCTTGTCACGATTATGTCACCGTTTCAATTCACCCTGTCAAAGTTGGATACGGTCTCTCGCAGGGGAAAAGGCCGGTTTTCGCTGCGATTGGCAGTCCTGTTGTATGCATCCATCGGCATAATGGAATCGAATAAGCAATGTTCTATGTATATATATATATATATATATATATATGTGCGCTCTATTATTGACCGTTGATCGACAACCGACGTTTAATAACCGTCCTTTTCATGTCCCTAATTGGTTGGACCCTCGTTAAATCTCTCACGATCATAAGCGAACTATCGATACAGTGTTACAGTAGTATTTAATCTCTTGATCTCATCGTGATTATCGTACAGAATAATCGAGACTTGACGAAATTAACCGAGATAATTTGTTTCGTAATTATCACTCAATTTTTCTCATTACAATTCTCAAATTACAATGATTTTGAATTTTTTCCTCTTTTCCTTTTTTTTTTTTTTTTTTTTTTTCAATTTATAATCCAACGATATTTAAACAGAGATAATGATGATTCGAGAAATTCGTCTCGAAATGGTTAAAATTGGATTTGTTTTTGTATGCACGTACTATTATTGTTTTATATGCACGTATTATTACACACTTTATTGGATTAAGCGAAAAAGAAACGGGGAATCGATAAAAATGGATTCATCAAGTTTTCCTCCTCTTCTTATAGAATGGTTCGTGCTAACTATAGGCATCGACGAAGGGATATATAGCTGTGCTTCGTTAAATGTCCACCAAGCTTGGATCGTACGCAATCAATTACGAAGGGAAATGTATTTCAACGAAATTTCCAAAATATCCCTTTTCTTTTTTTTTTTTAATTGGAACCAGATGTACCAGATATGTTCGAAATATTCTTACTCAGTGTTGAAATAGAATAGAAGAATATTATTTATTTACTTTTCTCAGGAGCAAACGTTAATTTCGTGATAAAAATTTATATAAAATATATATATATATTAATTTTGAGTTGGAATTTCATTCAATAAATAAATTCTTCTCGAGCGAAGAAAATAACATTTTCGTGGAAACAATTGGAGGGAAAATTATTTTCGCCGCGTTGAAGATTATTAAGAATAAAAATTGACCTGTCGCGACACGGTGACGGAGAATATTTCCAAACTAATCCGCTGCGAACCACCTCTTTGTCGCGATAAAGCTTTAAAAATCGATTTCTACGTGTATTACACAATTTATATTCCGCTCGAAATTTTTTCCTCCCCCAAATGGTGATCGCCATTTACACCGATCGATTCGAGATAATCCGATTACCAGAGAAATATTTACGAACAAAAACGGATATCAACCCCCTATCGATGCATGAATTTTTACGACGAGTTGAAGAAAATATGTATAACTGTTTAATTCTAATAATATTCTTATTTTTTTAAAACATCGACGAGTGCGTTCTTGCACGTATTATTTTGCACCCATGCACACCAAAATTCGGAAATTTAAATTCCCCGATTGGGAAGTAATTAATAAAATAATTATAAATTATTAATAATTAATAACAATAATAATTAATAATTAATAAATTAATTTTCTATCTTAATTTATTTAATCTCAAGTTGATTCTGGAGAATAATAAAATAGGAAAAACGGTGTTAACTTATTGCTTGTTTATAGGATAAAATTAAAATTAAGTTAAATACGAATTATCCTGTTTCGTATATAGAAATGAACACAATTTATCGTTGTCTCTTTCTCTTTCTATGTAGCAATTAATGATAAAAGAAAGAAACAGGAAAATTATCCATCTCCATCTTTGGAGTTATTCATCATTCTCCAACAACTGTCTCTCCATTTTTATCATCCTCTTATTAGTTATTCTTACCACCGACTTCTTTTCAATTCTTCAAAAACGTACATACGAAAGGAACACGAATGGAAACACGTTTGAATATTTGATCCTTTTCAATATTTGATGTTTCTCCTGAATCGGCAAGCTGCAATTGATAAATTTACGAGACACGGAGAGAGAGAGAAAAAAAAAAAAAAAAAAAATCTGAAAATTTGGGGCGAGAAGAAGAAATTTAGAAGAATAAAAGTAAACTTTTGCGCGGAGGAAGACGATAAAGAAGAAGAATCAAGGTCAAGAAAAGCTCTGGATGATTAGTAGTGGCGGTAGTTGGCTTAGTGCTCTAATTAGTAGGCGACGAGATGGCGCAATTTATCCCACTTGTTACCCCCAATCTTAGTTAGTTAGTTGGATGTGTTGGCTTTTGAAGGACTAGGCAAATATCCTAGGTGTCCCCGATATAATTTCGTCTTCTTCCTTCTAATATATCTCTTTTATCACACACTTCCCCGAGTTTGTTATTACACCTCCACCCCTTTTGTCTTCTTTGTCTTCCCTCGACGACCCCCTCCCCTCCAAAACATCAGTCTTCTGACCTCCATTTCCCTTTCTTCTCTCTCTCTCTCTCTCTCTCTCTCATTTACAGTTCCTTCCTCCTTATATTCACATCGAAATTGGAAAGAATCATTTCATTCATTTATTTTCTCAATTCTTTCCTTAGAGAAGAAAGATATTAATTATTATAATTTCATTCTCAATTCGAAACAATCGAAGTTTGAAAATATATCTTCATTCTACACGAATTTTACTCGACACGAGTAAAATAATCTCTAAAATATTTTTATTTATTATTTTTATTGATTAATTTTACAAATTAGTAGAAATCAATAAATTCCAATAAAATGGATTGAAATTCTCTCACATAACTATAGAAACAACGAGCTTCAATAATCAATAATTTATCCGTTAATTTTTCTAGTGATCCCTAGATAAAAATACAAATCAATAAATATCCCTAGAATCCTCATAATTCTCTTCTCGCCACTTAATAACGAATAAGGAACAAACCAATATGTTTCTCCACGACAAATTACGACAAATTAACAAAGAAGACGCGGAAGAAATTTAAAGAATATTTATAAAAAAAAAATCCTTAATCAAGAGGAGGATAAATCAAGAGGAGGAGGATAATTCAATTCAACGGAGGATCACAACTTATGACGTTGAATTATATATACTACAGGGAGGGGAGGAGTATATTGTTATGCTATAATGCGATCCGCCAAATTAATACAGTTTGCGTGATCCGTGTCTCGTATTTAACCACCCTTGCCGACCGTTTCCGGTTCGCGTGATTAGCATAAATATCGGCCTCCACCTCCTTCCGTTCGAAAATTCGTGGAAACTACGTGTTTCTACGAATGACAAGTGTTTGTCATCCCTGTGATGATAATAATAATATAATAATAAAATAATAAAGTTGAAGGCGAGCAACGAAAGAGGCCGGTGGAATCACGATGGATAAGGGATGAGAGAATGGAAAGAGAATGGAAGGAAAACGTAACGATATCGCACGAATGCGAGGAGAAAGAGAGATATCGAGGAGAAAACAAGGTGGAAATAAGAATTTAAAATAAAAAAATCGATGTAAAGGTTCGTTTACTTTATTCGTTCGGGATTGTGATGTATCTCAACTTTCGACGTTTCGAAACGTTTTGTTAATTGATCATTGAATATTCTAATATTCATTGGATATAAGGTCTCATTCGTGCCTTGAATGTTACATCACACGAGGGTGAATTTGGAATCGGATACAGGAAACGAAAAGATCGTTT